CTAGTCTTATACTGCTAAATTAGGGACGGCTAGCGCAGATAGCCCTCGTGTAGCTTTGCACGAAATTCAAAACATAGCAAGTCTACACTCTAGACAACCCGGACAGATTATCACTATTAGCATAAAATGGCTGTTAGAAACCACCAGTCAACTCTCCATGAACTCAACAAGGACTTTGTGGATAGTAAATACAGAGATCATCAGTAACTAACCAATAAGATACCAACTTTAGGGCGCAAAGGGCTTCCTCAGCTCATTTGGACTTTTGTCAAAATCACTAAAATTGGCACCCCAATATGGCACATTGGGTTACCGATTCTAGTAATCTGCATGTAAATAGTTCAGGGGCACATTCGGCTGCCAGTTCTAGTGATCTCCATCCAAAGATTACAGGGGTCTCCAAAAGATGTTCTGTAATGGGTATTGTCCCTTTTCAAAATATGTTCTCTAATAGGTAGTGTCCCTCTCCAAAAATGTCTGTAATGGGTATTGTCCCCCTCTCCAAACATCGAGTTAGTCTTTGCATCTGTTAGCCAAACATCTCGCGGATGGTGTGTGTGAAGCTATGGGATATTCTGTTTTTTTTCTCAGAGGGTTCAACGCCATGATTTTTGGCGTTGTGTGATGGGTTAAAAGAGTTGCTTAAATGGCGTCCAACTTGGTTCCAGAGTTGTTCTATTAGACTTAGATCAAAACTTCTTAGTGGTTAAAACACGACTTCTATGGTTTCTTGCTCAACGTGTCCATCAAAGTCCTGATATCATCCTGCATCAGAACAAAGGTAGTACAATTGTGTAAAATACTAAGACAGCGTAGTGTCAAGCAATAGAATCGTCCGTCGAGAAGCACAGTCAAGTCTGAAAATTCCTTTATACTAATGATGTCTCACGCTATAATGAATCACCACCGAGTGTTCACCTCTGGCTCCAAACACGAACCCACCCATCACTGCTAGAAGCGTGAAGCCCCGAGTTATCTGCTTGTAAAGAGTACAGGGGCAGATTGGGCTGTTGATTCTGGTGACCTGCACGTAGAGAGTGCAGGGGCACGTTGGGCTTCCATTTCTAGGGATTTGCATGTAAAGAGCAGAGGGGCACATTGGGTTACCGATTCTAGTAATCTGCATGTAAAGAGCAGAGGGGCACATTGGGTTACCGATTCTAGTAATCTGCATGTAAAGAGCAGAGGGGCACATTGGGTTACCGATTCTAGTAATCTGCATGTAAAGAGCAGAGGGGCACATTGGGTTACCGATTCTAGTAATCTGCATGTAAAGAGCAGAGGGGGGTAAACTACCTATTACAGAACATATTTTGGAGAGGGACATTTGGAGAGATGGAATTTGATGGTCCCACGAGTTACAATTAGATGTATCTATATATTATCAATGTAACTGGTAAAATAATTTTATTCGATGAATAATTAATGTTCTTAAGATAAAATATGATTTTTTTTTGGCTTTGTTGTTCATTTGGTTGAAAAACAAATGAATCAGAATATCTTACTGTTTCGGAGTAGATTATAGTCGCGTTAAAATTGTGATTTAAAACAAAATGTTTTACGTCTAACACTCGAGCATATATCAAATGTAATGTGGTTGACATACTTGTTCTTTACTTGCACTCGTGGGTTTTTAAAATTTGTAAGTTTTGCTATCGCCATCCACGACAAAAACTTAAAGAGTTTTTGAGTTAACCCTTATTACGTGTTCTATGATTTCTACGTATACGCGTCTTAGACTAAATACTCGTTTACTTTCTTCTGGCTGTGGTTCAAGATATTTGACAGTTAAAATGCAATCTGCTGTAAATTTCACGGTTGACGTTCTACAGATTCAATTTGACTATAAATGGAGAAAAGTTTAACAGAAGCCAAATCAATTCTAAGTTTTATAAGTACGTCCTTAGTTTCGAATAGACAGTGCTCTATGCTGATCGACGAAACATGCGAAAATTCGATGTTTAAATCTGGAAACACCCCC